ATATATAATACTGTACAGACGATAGTAAACTCAATTTACCCGCCTAAACTCTCCGTAGCGTGGCGCTGGACGGCGGAAAGTAGTTTGGCTGCCCGATGACGTTTTACCGAATTATAGGAGTTTTTTTACCATGTTTGTACGGACACCGTCGCAATTTTTTCGCCGTCATATAAGAATCCGAACTATAGGAACCCGTGTTATAGGGGGATCGACTGTTTATCAAATTATTCAAACTTCAAGACACCATTAAAAATAAAAATTGCATTATAGTGAACATTTTTTTTAGTTAACTGTATAAGTTGGCGACCCCACAGAAAGACCGTCGCGACCCTCTTCTGGGTCGCGACCCATAGGTTGGGAACCCGTGCCTTAGACCATCCCGACAGTAGGGAATAAAATCCCCCCAATCTGCATTCTTATATTACCCACAAATATTAACTTTTCTTCACAGTTTTATTTTCAAGTGCTAAGATGCATTGCAAAAATATAAGGTCACCCCAATTTTTTGGAATAATACATTTTTATTACACTTAAACAAAAATTTTGTGACAAGAATAAATGTAAAAGAATTACTTATTCTATTTACAATCAAAAATAAAAATGAAAATATAAATTTTCTATTCAAAAATAATGGTGTTGCAAAAATATAAGGCCAGTAGCATTTAATAGCAAGTGAAACCACCATTTCTCAAAATAATCTTGTAATCCTATCTTACATAGAGTTTACAAGATTTTGCAGCATATTTAAATCAATTTTTTTCCTATGCAATTACAATTGCAGTTTTGAGTTGTTCAATTCTGTAGTATTTTCTCCTGCATACATATTCGTAGCTATTAGACTCCATAGATTTTCTACAGCGGTTCAAATCATGGGAATAGGCAGGCCAATTCATGACCTGAATGCCATTATCCAGTAGCCATTGATAATGCACCAATCCATAATGCAAATTCATTTATCTTGTTGCAGTTGCCAGAATGGACTACCTTTTTTTCTCCAGATGGCAGAAGATATATATCCAACAGGTTTTGATACCCAACTATGTTCATTTAGCTATTTATGAATGCTAAATTGATTTTTTCGGATCATCCAAAACTTGTCCAGATCATGACTAAGTGCCTCCTTGCTGACACTTAGTAAATAAAAACTCTTCTTTCCTAAATTGTGCCAATAAAATTACCAACTGTTGGGACCGTCCAAATTGAACTTTTTTTTTTTATCAGTCCAAATAACTTTACGTTATTTTGAAGTCCATGAGTCTTTGGCCCATATCAGTTTTTTTTTGTTGTTGTTTTAGATATGGTGCTATTTTTATACACTAGATGCTTTGTTGATTTTACCATCTGGAAAAATGGATTTGGGAACTAGCATCAGGTCTTTGTGCTATTCCACCTAAAGATGATTCAAAAAGTTGGGGTAGCCTTATATTTTTGAAATAGACCTTAGGTCTGAAGTATATTCATATTTTGTTTCTACAATGATAGTGTCAAAATGTCTCATGAACTGAACTTTGCTAAAGTTCATGTTGTAGTTTTGCAAGATTGTTTATTGAATGAGAAATTTCTATTATATTTACATATTACATATTCTCGTGTATTTATCACCTTTCATAAACATCAGATGTAATCTATATATATAAAAATGAATGTATGGCTGTCTGTCCTTCATGCATTACTACACCATTTATCCGATTGCCATGAAACTTTGGGAAGTTGTTTAATACACTCCTGCGAAGGTTTCTGGTATAGTACATTTATCCTACGATAGATGGCGTGCATGTATATGAGCATTTCATCATGGTTAGGAGTTGAAACATGAAATTTGGTACACAGGGTACGTCATGAGAACACACTAACAAGGGATTTTTAACCCCCTGCAGGAAAGGGATAGGATTAAGGCTTCAACAATGGAAGTGTTAAGAGAAAGCAACATGCAAGATTTACAGGCACATATGCGGTTTTTTGCGTTAAATCAAACATAATTTTAGACCCATCTAAAAATTTTCTAATTAGTCTGGAAATGGGAACCTAATTCTTGCATTCTGTGAAAACGGGTAAGATTGGCTGTAATATAATAATCTTAATCTTTGCTATTGTTACTTTTTGCTCAAGCAACGCCGGGCTTATCTGCTAGTATCCTATAAACATAGATGTTTTTCATATGCTTCCAAAAATTTTGTTTCCTGAAGTCAACTTTCCATTCATTTTTTGATCTTGAAAAGAATTTGTGTTCAATTACCATATTTTTACAGATTGTCTGGCATGTCAGTCTATCTGGGGAGACCATGAAATCAGATCTTTCCATATTGTAAAACCAATATACTGGTTTATCCCTGGGGAATGCTGATATGCCTGTTTTAAGTGAAGTTATACATCCCTCTGAATGTGAAAAAAAAACAAAGTGAATAACATTGTGTTTTTATTCTAAAATTGTGAAACTGTCAGCATTACATCAAGAACTATAGTTGTGTGTTTAATTTTTTCATTTTGTCTTCTTTCTAAGGATGTAAAATATTTGTGGAATGCTGAAAGTACTTTGTTTATTTTATTATAATTTGATCTAAAAATGCAAAATAAACACATCAAATTTTAGAAACTTGTAAATTACCTCAACATACACTGATTAACATCTGTTTTGTGTGAAATTTGAGAGGAAGATGTTATCTTTCAATGTCAAGGTAGATGGTCAATGTAGCCCCCACTAACTAACTATCAGGGATGGAGAATCAGGAGTTGAAGAGTTTAATCTTTTTATGGGAGTTATGTATTTTTCCACCAACTTCCCATTTCTGCTTACTACTACTACTACTACTACTACTACTACTACTACTACTACTACTACTAATGTCAATAATCTACTAATTGTTTTATTGTCCTGTAAATGAAAGTTCTTTCTGGTTGTCAGTCAGTCAAATTACAATGTTATTATTTTACTATACTGGGAAGAATGTTTTCTTTAACAACTACTTTTATTAGATCTGATTAATTTTATTTTCTAGTTGCAGTTTAACTGGCATGCTGGTTTCCCTGGTTACATATGGCATGCTAGTCAATCCATGAAAATACAATATCAATCACATGACAATATGTATCTGGTAATAATTAATACTAAAAATACAATTTCCAGCAGCAAAATTTTCACATGCCCAGTTTAATTAACCTGATAGTTCATGTTCATATATGCAATGTTTACTGGCATCAGTGTGTGATTTATCACTGGCATAACAAAAAAGTTTGAATTTTTCAACTTTTTTATTTTTGCATGTAATTAATGTCACTAATGCACCAGTACATGTTTGTGTTAAATTTTTTTACTGGCATACCAAAAGTCTCTTGCACCAGTAAATCCATACACATGAAACCTGACATTACAGCAAATTTTAGATTAATTATTTCTGATATTAGTCTATAATGTATACCAAAAATATTAGAATTTAAAAATTTATATCACTTTGTTGTTATATTAGAGGCTTGGTCCTTAGTACAATATATTTCAATCAACATAGTTAAATTTTAAAACATTTTGTCTTTAGAAACATTGTGTTTGCTAAGCAAAATTATAAATTAAAATCTCATAATTTGTATGTACTGGGTGAGTCAAAATTATGTAAACCATCTTGGGTGAGTCAAAATTATGTGAACCATCTTGGGTGAGTCAAAATTATGTGAACACTATTTGAGAGAAAGCATTTACTCAAAGTTTGTGTTATACAGAATCTCAACCTGACCACCAGCATGATTAATGCATTTAAACCAATGTTCAACAGTACAATTTAGTGCCAGAACACCGGAGATTGGGGAGGCCATAACAATGGTCCATCGCGACCAATCGGAATAGAAAACGAAACAAAATTAAGATGTTTCATTATTAATGTTTAATTGAAAATTAAGATTGTTCATATAATTTTGACTCACCCAAGATTGTTCACATAATTTTGTCTCATCCTGTATATTAAAGGCAAAATGTTCTGTTCTCACTAAAACTGAAATCAACACTTTACAAAGAAGCAGCATGTAAGGTAGGTCACACCAGGTTGCAGGTGGGGTCTACAATGCATTCCTTGAAAGGACCACTCGTCAATTTCCTCTGTGGAGTCGACATGAATTCAAGGAAAGGATTAGCAAAGGGGAAAGGAGGTCTTTGTGTAGGAATAGGAGATACAAAAAGACTTCACTTTTGACTCAGACTTGAGTTGAAGAGAGAGCTATTCATTTGCTTCCATAGCAACTATTTTTTAAGTTTGATTTTGATTTTTGAATAGTAACCTTTTGGTTATATACAGAATATATATAAAAACTAAATCTGTATATATTATTTTTAATAGTTTTTACCTGTATATATATATATATATATATATATTAAAAGCAAAATATTCTGTTACTGCTGCACACAAATAATGTAAATTTAAAAATTAATTTGATTTTAATTAGTTTTGATTTTATTTTTATGCTGAAACTGAAACTAAATTAAAGGCCAGTTTTAATTATTAATTATTATTTACATAATTTTGCCTGAATTTTTTGAACACCTAATTACAAATTTTTTAATTGCAACTTTTTTTGCGACTTAACTATTGAAATTTTTTAGCATTGTTTTACACAAAAGATAATTAAACTTAAATTTATTTAAATTTTTTTACTAATTTCATTAATTTTTGTTGTATAAATTTGCCTGCTTTAAAAAAATAATTTTTAAATTTTAATTTTAAGTGAGCTAACATTAATTGAACTATCGGGCTACCTAGTATTCTCATAATTACACCACATACAATTACCCTTTACACCATTAATTTGAGGGTGGGTGTTAATGGAATAAATGTTGGTTAAAAATTAAAATAAAACAAAGTACAAAAAATTATTTTTATATATATAGTATGTTTTGTATGTTTGTAGTGTCTGTATCTGTATATACTATATACAGGGTAAACCATAAGTCCTTGAACTCTGATTTTAATATATTTTTACATTGGTGATGTTAATATGTGCTATAAATTTCTAAATTGTTATCTTTCTCATATCTTTGAGAATATGTAAAGACAATATGAATGTCCCTGAGCATTTAAATTAGTTTTGCAAAGGACAAATTTCAAACTGTATCAGACATCTCTTGTGCAAAAATGTTGATTCACTAACCTGTGCCAGTTTCTTATTGGTTCTCCAGTGCAGTGCAGGATATCCACATGCATATGCATGTGTCTTTCACAAGTACAGTGTATTTTTCTTTTGGAGGCATACTTTGAAACCAGATCATATGCATGATGCATAAAGATTTCCTCCAATCTCTTGATTTGTCGTCATCTGATTTCTTTTTGAGGTTATCTAAAGGAATATGTGTACATAATTGAGACCTGCATTCCTTAAAAAGGAACATTTATGCTACCATCAACAAGCAATTATTTATTGTGACATTGTCACAATGCCAGGTTGCAACTTTTAATCATATTTTTAATGTATTTAATGTAAAATATGTGCTCTCCACCTCAAATTAGTAGTGGCTTGCCCCTGTATATCATACTTTTCCTTTAATAATAGAGCTGTTCAAATCATTCATCTAACACTTTTTGGAGAAAAATTTTTGAATTGAGATAAAATGACTTCTGGTTTGCATCAGAAGTTTATATGTTGTTAATCAGGCCTCCTGCCTCTAAGGTGTCCATATCTGGTCTCATATTTCATCTATCTAGCTCTGCTCTCAAGATTAAGGAAAAACAGATGAGATGAGTGGGAATTTATAGATCTATAATTTTTTTAAATTGCAGTCCAATCACATTTTTCCAGTCATGCTAACATTTGTGGCTACAGATATGTTACTGCATTTGCAGGATCATGGTAGACAGTTCCAATATCTATGATAGTGTGTTCAAAGCCCAAGGAATTAGAAACAACTATAATATGTAAACTTCTTTGTATTAAAAAAATCTACAATTTTTTGAAATCAGAGTTTAGGGACTTTTGACTTACACTGTGTGATATCTGCATGTATAATTGATTTTTACTCAATAATAACTTATATTTAGATTTATTAATAATAACAGTATCTTTTATTATTTTCAATTAGTTAGTCACTGATTCTGAACATGAAGATGTAAATCAACAAAATATATTTAGACATGGACAAAATAGTCATTATCAAAATTCTCAGCATCTTGATGAAAGAGAGAGACATTTGATGGAAAGCCATGCTTCAAAATTGTATAAAGAAGACAATACAAAAAAAACTGTATGTTACATTATTTTATTTGTGAAGTTACTTTAATTTTTTTTTAGCTATAACTTTACTTTTAAATAAGCAATTTCCTAAAATAAATAGTTTGAAAAGTCATAAAATGTCAAATGCGAAATGAACTATGGGATGTAAAATTACATTCTCAAATTTAGGATTCGTTTTAATTCACCACTGAATGCATAAGCATTTTACTTCAGACAAAATGTATACTGTATTTAAATATGATGATGCTTTTCCAAATTAAAACTTATAAAAATTATTAGAATGATTCTGAAATAAAAAATGATTAAACAAATCTGAAAAAAATGATGTTATATTGATAATATCTTGCATCGTTTGATGATAATTATATAATATAACTGTGTCAAGTTAAAGAAATTTTGTGGGAGAAAATAATTAAATAAATGCATTTGTACTTATTTCTTTTCTTGTGTGTTGGTATGTGTATGTGTGTGTATATTTCCCTAATTTTACAATGGTGTTTTTGAAGAAAGCATTGTTAAATGGAATCTTATTGACTGGAATAAAAATTATTTGAATGAGTTATATACTTTCTATCAGCAAAATATTTTTGTATCTAAACTACAGTATTTCAATAATTAGTACATGAGTACTATAATAAACTTTTTTACAAATACACATTTTTATAAGTATTTAATAAATTTTTATAAATATACTATAACTGTTTAAAAAATAACAAAAATTAAATCAGAACTTGCATTGAATTAGAGCTTTGTGTTGTAATAGTCATTATCAAGCTCCTTTTTTTATTATTATTATTATTATTATTATTATCATCATCATCATCATTGGCAGTAGTGTGACAACCATTTGTCATCTATTCAGAGAATTATTAGCATGAATATGTTTTTAGAATTATATTGCTGTGAATTGCAGTTGGGTAGGTCAAGATGTTGATTTAACTTTAGTTCAAACTTTAGGCTGTTGTCTCTACTTATTTAAGTATTTGTTTCTTTAAAAATTTTTGTTTGTTTTATTTTTTGTAAACAGTTTTTTAAACACAATTTTGTCATGCATCTTCAATTTTTTTTAGAATTTTGCTGTGTGTTAATAATTTTAATGTACTATATATTCAACCCATTTACTATTTCTCAAAATTTATTTTAATTTTAAAGAATTTTTTAAATAAATAAAATTATCTAATATCAGTTTTGGTTTTTGATTACTTTTAAAAAAGCATGTTTAATAAAATAAAATTAAATTGATTTAATGTGCAATACCAATTGTTTAAATTATAAGGTTAAAGATACAATATGATAAGACAGAATAAGTACTACATATTCCAGTATTACCTATAGTTGAAACATTTAGTGTGTTAATGATAGTTACTATATAAGTTTGGATTTAGCTAGGATTTTTAGTTTTACTAACCTCAGGCAGAAAAAATTTCAGATGAATAATTTTTTTGCCTGGATTTTATTTGCTTAATTATATATAGTACTTGGATGGTATTTTTATTAAACTATAATTTTACTTAAAAGCAGAATTATAAATCTCACACGTTTTTGATATTGAAGAATTCAAGTAATATATCAATTAGTAAACAGATAGCAAACATAATACCAATTCCACTGAAAGTAATTACTTATGATTGATTTAATTATAAATTACATTTAATACAGTATATATTTACATGATGTACATAGATGTATCATGATATCTTAATTTTTTAATAAAATTAAATTTTTCATGTAATAAATAAAAACTAATTACTTTTCAGCCTGACACAAGTATTGTTGTCGAAAGATTAATGCACTTAAGGGATTGTATTAAACAAGTATCATCTATAATGAGCAATTTAGAAAAAACTGATGAACCAGTAAGTAATAAAATTACTAATAAGCTTTTATTAGAGTTGAACAGTAATAAAATTTTACTATGATATATATTACATAGTTAAAAATAAACTTTTATTTGAATCTAAATAAATTTTATCTTTTTCTAAGAGTCAATTCAAACATTTTACAATGCAGATATAAAATTAGTTTGATTATATAACCAAAAGGATTGCTGCTATTTTTTAGTAAATAGTTAACTTTTGGCAGATTCTTATAAATTACTATTTTCTATTAAATATTTGGTTACTGCAGTCAATTTTTGTTAAAAACAGTGTTTTGAAAATTTATCATTAAAGTTAAACCTGCAAATTATGGTTTCATTGACTATTTAGGAAGTATATGACCAGATTTGCTATTATCAAATTGGTTTTAATTATTTTTAAATTTCTACTACCTTTCTACAAAATTACTGAACACAGATTAAAAAATTCAAGATTGTTTTTTGAGTTTTTTTCTTGTCCAAAATTGGAAGAAAAATGAGATTGATTTGTTTTATGCTACTATATTTTTTGTATGTGTTTATATTTATTTTTTTATTTCATAAATATAATAAATACTTGTTAAATATAATGAATATTAAAAAATTATATTTTTATTTTAATAAAGTTAATTAAAAATATCAAATATGTATTTATAAAATTTGTTTTCAAATTTTCACTTTCTAGTTGTTATATATGAGGGTCAAAAAATGAACTCCCCAAGATTTTTACATTTTTTGGAATTTGAATCTTGAAATATAAAGAAATGCAAAAAAAAATTTGGGAGAGATTTTTTTTGTGTATTGATATTAGTGTGATTGGGTGCATGGCATGATTTTGTTCACTCACTTTGAAGCTTAACATCTATAGTGATTATCAAAAATTTCTGAAATTTTGCAAAGAGGTTTGTATATTAGGGAGAGTAATGCTATAAATTTTGGTGATTAAAGGTCAAGGGGTGGGGAGATAGAGGATAGGTCATGTGTCATATCTCAACTGGGGATGGTCTTAATAAAGAGTTTATTCATTATTAGCATTTACAATTTTTAATGAAACTCATCTCTACCTTCAAAATTAATCTTTTTGCCATTTTATAATAATTAATAATATAATGACTTTTTAAATAAAATCTCATAACAGATTGTGACACACACAATTTTGAACTAATGCCAGAAAAGTTATACAACTCTTACTAGATTTTTTTCATTATGAAGTTTATTTATTTATTTATTATATTGAAATTGGCAATGTCTTGCAAAGTTATTTGGAAAGATAAGGAATAAAGTTTAGTCCATTTAAAAAAGTACCCAGAATCACTGCATAATGCACCCTTATTCATACTGCTCCCTTATCCAAAGTAACAAGATCCACCTAGACATTTCTTAATAGTAATCAATTCTTTCCACTTTTTTTATGTCTTAAGAGCTCCATGTAACTTATTATGCATTTGGGAATGCTAAAATTCATTTTCACATAATTTCACTGTACTTATACTGTATATCAACAGTAGTAAATCCAGTCCCTAAGCCATCTTTGAGCCCTTAACTCAAAAATTAAAAATATTTGAATAATTAATAAGGACCTTTTTATTAACATATGCATGATGATTGCATTGCAGATGGTCTGATAAATCATATTTCCCATCATAAAGGTTTTTAAAAACAACATTTTAAAAGTTTGAACAAATTTTTTTGTCGATGAGGAGGGCTTAGGTCCCCATAGTCTCCCTTGGATTTTTCCCTGAATATCATGAATTTTACTGTTCTGTTAAATAATCAGCAAATACAATATATTTACTAATCACATTACTTTAATTTCTTCCTAGAAATACAATAGTAGGCTTAGCTGAAAATATGTGAACATTCTTCTACAAAATGGGGCAAGGATGTTCTTTGGAGCCATCTGAATGCTCTCTAATAGGATACAGAAATCAAATAAGCACAGTACTACTTTAAAGTAAGGTTGCATGACCTCCAAAAACTGATTGCTAATCACTTCTTGTCCTGTCCATTCAAGATGAAGGCATATATGTGATCTGTGCTGTTTGTATATTACAATACATTCATGATATGTAATTATTTCTCGTGTGTCCTAAACTTGTTTAAAAAAATGACCAAATTTTATGAACAGGTTTATGGGAGAGCTTCTGTTCTGTGTGATGCCAATACTTTGATCTGTTTGATCATTGTCCATGTATTAGAAACCTGTACTAATTGAAGATTTTACCAAATTTCCAGATAATTTATATCATAGTTTGTCTTGGGCCCTGGACAGTGATGCACTGAGATTAGAGATAGACCCTTATAAATCTTTCTTAGAATAGTGCTCCCTTATTTAGACTGATGCTCTAAAAATGCTACTAACATGGTGCGGAATCATGTTATCAATGTACACATTGATAACATGATTCCGCATGTTTTTTGTTAGCCGAACATACTTTACATACTCTGGATGGATGCTTTTTTTCTCTGCAGGTGGTATGAAACTAGGAAAATGCCGTTCGGATAAACGCAATGGATTTTCATGTGATGGTCAATCACGACGGACTAGATGTCTGCTTGTGTGATACTTCTCTATCACTTCTCTGATAACAGACATACGAAAATCTAAAAATGATATTTGTTTTTTCATATGTTTTCAATATAAAATACAAGCATTATATAATGTAATATCCATCATATGAAAAAACACTTTTTGTACCATTTTACCGTTTTTCTCATGCACGGATAATTGTGTATTACTCCGTCACAGAGATCGATACCACCCATATTGCAATTATAATCCAAAATACAATTTGGTTTCCTTATTACTTCCCCAGATATGTCACGTTTACCTGAATCAGAGAATTCGTTTTCACTCGTCGTACTTAGAATTGCCACATCCCTTTTGTCTTTCCAGCAGAATACAGACAATTTATCTTTCTGACAGGTGATAAATTCCCCTTCTTTCAATTTATGATCACAAAAATTACATGGCATTCCTATCCGATTTTTATTTACAGTTCCTCATACATAAGTTTTTTTGTCTAGAAGCGTTTTCGCTAAGGTCGGTGAGGTGAAAAACCTATCTAAAAAACACCTTGTGATATTTACTGAACAACGGTTCTAATAAGGTCAGCACAACTTTCTCTCCTTGCCCACCTTCAAAATTTCCGTATTCAGTAGTAGTTCCGGTATAAACTATAAATTCCTAAACATATCCTGTTTGTGATTCACAAATTTCAGCTTTTCACTCCAAAACGAGCATGCTTGTTCGGTATGTATTGCCTAAATCCCAATCTCCCTTTCCATAGCATAAGACTTTCGTCTACACAGATATTTTCCTCTGGGAGATATGCATTTTTGAACTTGTGGCGTAAATGATCGATAACACTGCGTAATTTATGCAGTCGATCATCACCACCTGAAGTTTGATTATTGTCTGTAAAATGCAGATAGGACAATAAAAGTTGAAAGTGGTTATTCAACATCGCACTTGAAAAAAAGGGTGTCAAAAAAAGATCTTCAATTGTAAAATACATGCTTAGGTGCAGTTTTCTAGAAATTCTCTAATTTCTGGATTTGTCGTTGACTTCCAGTTTTTTATCCGACTATTCTCTCATAAATCGTCACAGTTTAGCAAACTATTACCATACCTGTTCATTTCTGAGATAATCTTGTCGACGAGTTTGTCATCAAAGAATATACTGAAACAGTGTAACAGTGTAATATCACTCCGTAGATTACATAGTATTCCTGATGGTCCCGTAAAACTGTTCACTTGAGGATGTCTGAAATTTGTATGAATCCATCCGTCATCACTACTAAATCGCGGATGTTTAGCTGTATTACTTTGAGTACTGCCGCGTGATCTGACTCTATATCCACTTGTAGATGGTAAATCAGGATCAAAATCACCACTGTCTTTACTTACATTTTGATCTGGTATGTAATCGTCGTTGCTGTCTGAAAATTCAGATTCATCAGAACCTAAATTGAATAAATATTCAATAACTTTTGACTTATTTAGAGCGCTGTGTCTACTACTTGCATGTCGAAAGACAGAGAAGTGGTCTGATTTTCTTTGTGATTTCTAACAAAGAACAATTCCTAGAATTTTGATAACCTGCTGAGCAAAAACTAGATAACATAACGGTTCTTCTGATATGAGTCACTTATTTCAAAACAACATACAAGTAGTGACATCTGATGTTTAAAAAACGTTCCGATGTAAACACACAAATATTCAGGATCGCCCACATGGGTCAACAAGGTCAACACGAATATTTTCGAGAACAACGTACAACAGGTTAAACAGACTACTCTGTTATCCAGTGTTCTGTTAATAGGAGTCCTGCTAATGTGAAACACAGGAGAGAAAACCAGAAACATGGAAGAATGCTTTAAGTAAATTGCTTCCTTATTCAATACTTTTTTAAGTGGACTTGACAGTATAATGCAGGGGTGTCCAGCCCGCGGGCCGCATGCGGCCCAAGGTAAGTTTTAATGCGGCCCATGTAAACATGTAAACAAAACCGACAAATGTTTTAATTTTTTCATTATTTATTTATTTCAACAGCGTAAACTCAAAAAGAAGTTTCACAAAGCCGTAAATTTTCATTTATATTTTATTTTTGAGCGGAAAGGAAATATTTTCAAATATTTGGAGATGTGTGAATGAGGAAGGATTACTAAATAAAGCTGGAGTTATGACTCAAAGGATTATAGACCCAAATTTGGGAAAAGGAGGGAAAGGTGAGAAAGGACAAAAGATAAAAAGTAGTGAGAAAGGGTAAATAGATCTGTTATGCAAATATTGACCCTTAATTTTCCAACCTTTCTCACATCTTTATCTTTTGTCCTTTTCCTCCTTTCCCCCTCATTTGGGCCTATAATCCTTTGAATCACAACTCCAGCTTTATTTAGTATTTCTTCCAACGTTGCAAGATTTGGCTACATTTGCGCCAAATGTGGCTACTTTTTTTTGTTTGACGTAAAAATATTCGAAAAAAATAAATGAATTTATATATATTGTAAGTAAAAATTGAAAGTGTCTATAGAAGTAATTTTTAAAAATATCCTTTTTCGTGATAAAGTTTTAAT